GTGGTTAAAGAAGAACCAAATCAAAATGCATAATATGTACATATGCACATGATTCAAACATACAACTAAACCATAACAAATTGCATCTCTGCAACAAATCATTCCTCGGATAACAGTAATGAATGATAGTGTGAGATTGAGATTGTTTTCTTGCTGTATTTGTTGTTTTATTTTTTGTTTTTGTTTTGTTGGCCTGGGTATGCCCCCTTGGGCCTTTGTATACTGTACAGTTTTTTTCCATCTTTCTCGCCCAAGAAAAAAAAAAATTGTATTTCTGTTAAAGTAAAACTAACAGAGTATTCACTATAATCATTAAGCAAACACAATATTACCTAAGAATCGAATTATTGTAACCAAAACTGTGCACTTCCACAAAACCAAAAGCTGTCTATAATTCACCAAATATGCACAATCCATTAATTTGCTAACAACCTCAACCAAAATCCTATCTTTATAAGACTTCATTTCAGCCAACACTATTTTAATCTGTTCCGTAATCAACTCAACACATTTTAGGTATAATTCGATTTCATCAACCTGCAAATTGCTCCACTTCTCCTCCTGACAATGAAGAATACAACCCGTTTCCATACTGCAGTGACTCATTCAATCTCGGATACATCAACAAAAAATCGCCTTTGTCGAATTTTACAGTGCAAGTTCATGTTTTTCTTCTTTCACCAAACTCAAGGAGTTATTAATTGTACTGCTCTTTGTTGATTTCCTATTGAAACTTTTAGCATTGTCATCCAACCCTTTATTAGCTACACCACCCCCTTATCGTCTTTACCAGATTCTTGCATTTCTCTGCATTGGTCCCGTACTTATTCTTCAACCTTTTGATCTTATCTGTCAATTGGTTCTTCCAAACATCAACATGAAGAGACTTACCCATATCACTATATAGGTCAACCCCTTTCCTCCATTTGTACTCAACCATTCCCTTCAATATTGAAAATTCATCATCCTCACTACTCCACAACCTACTAAAAAGAGATTTCCTCTCTTCCATACCACCATTCTTCTTACTGCATGTAGCCATCCAGGTTTTGCAACTGAAGGTCGTGATCTCTTTCATCGAATGGGAGATCATAGGATCGAACCTAAAGCTTGAACACTACGGCTGCTGGATTGATCTGCTTGGCCGAGCAGGACAATTGCATCAAGCTCAAACTGCTGATAACTGCTGGGGGTTATGCTATTATGTCGAATATCCATGCCGATGTGGGAATGTGGGAGGATGTGCTGAGGATACGAAAATTGATGAGAAAAAAATATTGGAGGAAACTGGAATAAGTGTGATTGAGGTAGATGGAAGCATTGAGGAATTCATTAGTGGTAAAGACGCTCATAATGAAGATAAATGCTCATAATGAAGGTAAATGTTTGCAGAGTAGGCTTTCAGAAGGATGAATGAGTCAATGGGTTAATTGAGTATTTATCATCAATTGATTTTATCCAGATTTCCAGAGCCACAATATATATATATATATATATATATATATATATATATATATATTTGGGACGTCCTGGAATGGAGAAGCATATGACCCTCGCAGAGATGAAAGTTCTGAACTTGGTCGGTCCCCTAAGGTCGACATCTACTGGTTCCTATTTAATTGCATGACACGCTGAAGATGAATCTTCAGTATTTTTTCAGGGTAAATAAGCTTTAGTAGAGAAAAGATTATAACAGGGCAAACAAGCTAGAAATCAGCAACCAACAAACAAGAAGTAACTTAACAAGCCAACAAGCAACAAAACAACCAGTAGCACCAAACAAGGAGCAAGACCTGGCAGCAACAACCACATCCACTGAAGCCAAACAGCATTACAGAATGCAACTAAAAGTAATTCAAAGCCATATTCAAAGTAGTAGAACATCTCATCAGAAGCTCCGCCAGCGGTGAACAGCAGAATGGGGGAAAACTCACTTATTCGGCAAATGAGCCACAACCGGGAGAAATGAGGGGCAGCCATCAAACAAACAGCTTAACTGAATATGGAGTCTGGTAAATTCCAATTTTGCTGAAGATGAAAGTTAACAGCAGAATGAGGCAAATTTCCAATAGAGGATACTCTATGCCTGATGGCACTGGAAATCTTAGAGATGGCTGAATTAACATCCAAGCAATCATAGACTGAAGAGGATAGAATGGGTTTTGAAAGGTTAGTTTCAAGAGATTTTCCTTTGAAAGAAGATGAAGCCCAACTGATTATAGGAAGCCAAATGTAGCTGAGAAATCTGCATCCCAAATTTAAAAAGGAGAGTAATCCAGATTCTAAAGGAGAAAGGACAACTGAAAAAGAGGTGCATGATTTTCCAAGGGAGTACTACAAAGTAAGCATCTCATAGAAGATATAGCACCATATCCCAGAAGCTTATCTTGACTGCCAAGCTTTGAAATAATGGCTAGGCATAATATGAAACTAACCAGGGAACATTATTGGAAAACCAAAGAAGAAGAGCCCAACTAACCTTAGGCTGAGGAGAATTCAGGAAAACTCCAATGATCACCTCTAAGAATGTCCTTCGCCTTTGCATTTCTGGATAAACCTGAGTCATGAGTTATTCTATCCCCTAAAAAATAGATTGAATTGAACCAAAGGGAAGCTATGAATCAAACCATAAGAAAGTCTGACCACCAACCCGATGAATGCAAGACCTGAAAGTACTCCTAATTTGCAAGATATTCTTCCATATCCATAAGCAGTCCTGAGGAGGTATGATATCCCAAACACTTCTTCCTTTTGGAAGAAATCTTTAGAATTGAGTCATGACGGAGAACTTGTGTGATGTATACAGCTTCATACTAGAAGCAGGACGTTCATCTCGGGTGGAAGAATCAGAGCCCTCACATGCATAGGTTATTCTGAGCAGTATTTGTGATTGCACCATGTTCATCTGTCATGAAGGGTTGTGCATTTCATCACGAAGAGGATAAAAAGTTCATGAATTTTTCTGTGTCTTCATATATTCTATTGCAAAGAATTTGAGAAATCAAAGGAACTGCTTTCTTTATTATTATTATTTTTTCCTATAGGAACTGCTTTCTTTATTTACCACTATAGATTGAAGGGATTGACTTACTGTTGTCCATTAAATGACCATGCATGTTTCAAATGCAAACATCTCTTTCATATGTCCTAACCCAGTCCTAACCCAAGGAAGAAAATTATAAAACATGACAGCCCCTTCATGAAAGGTCCCAACTTTAGTTAACCATCCTATACAATGCTCCCTGATTCTGGTACTATTTCCATTTTCAAAATTTATAGTTCTTCAAAGTCTAGATTATAGTATCTTTGAAGACTGAATGTCTTGCATCAATTACAATGAGAAGTCGATTCCCACAAAGTGTTCATACGAAATTGCAAGATATATGCATCACATGCTAATGCAATCAGTTTATGAAAGAGGAAAAAATACCCTTGAGTGGTTAGTCACTTTGCCCTGGTGCCTCATGAATCCTCAGGTCTAAGGTTCAACTCTCCTCGAGTGCAAACAATTCCTTGGGGCCATGCCCGCGGGTGAAAGATCGAGCTTTACTGACCCATGTGGAGGGGGCGCTTTGCATGGTGTCCTGGGGCTTAGTCAGGGCAAATCCCCGGATACCCTAGTTCCGAAAAAAAATGAGAGAACGCTAGATCAAAGGTAGAGAATAGCTTAAACACCTACAACTCAATCCCAAAAGAAAGGGAGAGGTAGAAAGTTGCAATAGCAGCCTCAATAATTGATAATGCCAAAAAACTGCTCAATACAACTTGGAACAACCCTTTTATAAGTCACAAGGATGCCCTAGCAAAGATTTAATCCTAGCCCTTCAAATAAATATAATTTAAGAGCTGTTATTCTGTCACAAAACAGCCTTTAAATGGTCACATGACTCACTAAATAGAAGCAGAATGACAAAAATATCCCAACTAGAGCTTAAGGCAAACATTAAACTGGACACAGATTTACGACTTTACTAAATGAAAACAATGCTGCCCCTATTAATGCAATTTCAGTCCTAGGATAGTCAAACAGTTTGAAGAGAGTCCTCTTCCACTTGCTATGCTTTGCTACAAGATTTCAGGCATGAAAGAAGGTTATACAAGGTGCCAATAGTACTTCTCAAAGTGTCAAAACAATCATCACTTCACTTGAGACAATTTGAGGCAACTATTATGTCAAAACAGAGTAGCTTCATAAAAGGCAACTGTATATCCAGGCTTAAGTACTAATTTCCTCATTCTAAGCACCCAATCTAGAGAACATAGTACTTTAAAGTCACACCAGATCTTATATCAAGGCAGCCAAGAATCAGACACATGGAAGTTTAAAGTCCCACCACACAACAGCATACATATATTGACACAACTATGTATTAAGGGTGACAAGGTGTTTCAACTTTTAAGGTCCTACTGGCTACAACTAAGGCACCAGGATAAATTCCATATACCAAAACAACATGGCAACAAGGAGATTGTTTGTATAAGCAAATTGACAGTTCTATGTATCAAGCCAACTAAGTATCAAGGTAACATTGTAGTCTAAGTCCTACTAGGCAATATGGTAAGGCAACACAGTAATTTCCAAATATTGAGGCTAACATCAATTAAGGATATGCAGTTAGAACCAACAAGCAATTACAGAGCAATGTGGCAGGTAAAAATGCCAAGCCTTTTCACAATATTAGCTTTGCTTGTAAGTATGGCTAGTGGTAAAATACTAGACAAAATAAGGTTTAAGGACGAGTATTGAGTTCAATAAAAGCAAGGGCAAAAGAAGTTGTTCATGATAATTTCAATTCTTGAGTATTACATACGAATTCAACTATGAAACAAATTTGCACAAAAGATTTGGAAATAAAATAAAATTGTCTCACAATATAAGCTTTTAGTTAAAGTTCATACTAGAGATTTCCACATAATCAACCAAAAATCTAGTCATCACGAATTGAAACATAATTATTTGTATGGGCTAAAAACAGAAAGGAGAAAATATAAAAAAGAGAGAGAAAAAAAACCAGAAATATATTTATGTTAAATAAACCGAGACAACATAGTATCAATAAAAAGCAAAAACTGATGTATCCAAAACCTAAGAATAAAATTATTCTAACCAAAATTGTTAAACAATACTACTGATGTCCTTTCCACCAAACCCGAAATTTTAACTATACTTCACCAAATATACACAACCCATTAAACTGCTAATAATTTCAACCAAAACCTTATCACTTGGAAGACTTCATCTCAGCCAACACTAGCTTAGTCTGTTCCCGAACCAACTCAACATGTTTTAGGTATAATTCGATTTCATCAACCTGCAAATTGTTCCACTTCTCCTCCAGCTTCTCTGCCTTGGCACTCCCAATCAAACTTATTCTTTCCTTCAAAAAGTTCCTCCCAGACTCCAACAATGAAGGGTACAACCCGTTTTCGGACTGCAGTGATTCATTCAATCTCGGATACATCTTCGAGAAATCCTCTTGACTAGCCTTTATTCCACTATTTAGTGTATCAAATTCATGTTTTTCTTCTTTCGCCAAACTCAAGGAATGATGATTAATTGTACTGCTCTTTTTTGCAGTCCTTTTGGAACTTTTAGCGTTGTCATCAATCCCTTTACCAGCTACAGCACCCCATATCTTCTTTGAGAGCTCGAATGACTTGTGATCATGGGACTTGGAGAAAACCGGATTCTCGCCTTTCTCTGCATTGGTCATGTACTTCTTCTTCATCCTTTTGATCTTATCTGTCAATTGACTCTTTGAAACTTCGACATGAAGAGACTCTTTGATAAATTCATGAAAGTCACCCATATTAGTATATTGGTCAACCTTGTATTCCAACATTCCTTTCAAGATTGCAATTTCATCATTCTCGCTCCACAACCTACTAAAAAGAGACTTCCTCTCTCCATTATCTTCATCCCCATTCGAAACCCTCTTCTTTTTCGCCCGCGAATCCATCCCATCTTGTCCCGTCTGTGCAGGGCGTTTCGCAGCAGGCTTTGGGGCTGATTTGTTGGAGATGGGCTTGATAGTGAAATCGGAAGCGGTGGGAGAGGGTTGGGTTTTCTCGGAATCATCGGATTCCGAATCAAACCCTCCTTCATCAGTTGTGGTTGGATTGGGTTTTTGAAGGGAGGGTCTCTTGTCAAGAGGCGGTGGGACCGGAGGAGTCTCTTCCCCTTCTTCTTCATCCTCTTCAGATTCAGATTCTTCTTCTTCCTCCTCTTCGCGGTTTCGATCTTCTTGTTGCTCTGCTTCGTTGTCCCTCCTGTATTCATATTCATCTTCTTCTTCAGAAGAAGATAAATCAGAGGGATGGGTCGGAGCCATATGTCAAATCTAGAGAGAGAGATATCGAATACCCTAGAGAAAGACAGAGATCGAAGATGGCAGGTTTGTGGAGTGATAGAATGGTAAGTTGCAGTCTATATAAAGAAGGGTTTGGGGGAAGAGAGAGATATTCGATGTTGTGATTGTTCCCTGGTCAAATAGGTTTAGAATAACTCTGTAGCGTTACCTTTTTAGTTTCTACATTGTCACGAAAAGTGCACGTGATAGCCATAATATTTCGGTTGCCGACTTTATTTTTTTAAAAATTACTATCACGTCCTATAAATTTTATGTCTAATTTTGTAAGAGTATATATATATATAATTTTGATTTTATGTCTTAGAGTATATCTAATTTAATAAGGATATAAATGAAAGATTTAGTGATTCTAAAAAAAATTATGACTTAATTTTTCAATTAAAATTGTAAGACTGAGTGATAATTCCCCACCCCCCCTCCCTCCCTCTTTTTTTTTCTATTTTTAATTTTCTTTTGATGTGTGATAAAAAATATTTGATTTGTATTTAACGAATTAAGCTTTGTAGTCATAATCTCTTTTATTTGACGTCGGTTAGCCCTGTATTTGGTGGAGTGGCATTCATAAATTGAAATTAAAAAAAATTTAGTTAAAATTTAAAATTATTTTTATTTTACAAATAACACTAGAGTCTTTTTCTATTTTAAGAGAAGATGAGATATCATTAAACCACAAACATTGATCATTCATGCGATTAAATTTCAAACACACAAATTAATCTTGATTCCTTGAGCTACGTCAGCAATTTGCCATTGATAAACGTGAACAATTACCACCTAACTGGAATTCATTGTAAGTTCTTCAACACGGTTTCTTGTGACTTATTAAAAAATATAATAATGAAATAGTTGCTGACTGGTGACTCCTTCTCTCACTTCCATTTACTCTTTTCTTATTTATTTATTATTTATTTTTGAGTAGAAAAGAACAGGTTGGGTAGTAAGGACACAAAGAAGTAAATGCATTTTAAGCCAATTTCCCCAAATGTTGGAATGTAATAACAAGGTCATCCCCACCACTAGTTTCGGTCCCTCCTTGAAGGCAAATTTCATGAAATGGTCTAATAAATACCTCATAAATAGGAACTGTAGTACCTGGAGAAATCTTTTTTTTTTTTTTTTTTCTCTGGAGAAATCTTAAAAAGCATGACCGAGAGTGATTTTCTGAGAGTTAATTTCGAGTTGAATTTTGTTCAACATCTTATTTTCCTCCTCTTTTTTTCTGGGGAGACAAAGGTTATAAGTGACAGAAATTTTATGTTCAAATAATGATCAGCTTCACTATCTTAGATTTCACGGATCAATACATTATAAAAAACTAAAGTATTGAGGAAACATATTACCCTTATCATTTCATGAAAGAGTTCCATGATACAGAAAGGACCTTTTTTTCTCTCTATAATTGTAATACACAACTATGGACTAACACATTTGGATCCACAGAGTGCTGGTGAAGAGGCCCTGCAATGATAATTGGACTTCAGTTTCAGATGAATGCTTGTACACATTCCTGCGTCAATGTTTTATTTCTTCTTTGTCCCTCCAAGCTTCTGCACGCCTGCTTCAATGCTTTCTTTGTTCTTTGCCTCTCCAATAGAGCTTCTGCACCCCTGCTTCAACGTTTTCATTGTTCTTTGTCCCTAGATAGAGCTTCTGCACTCCTGCTTCAGTGTCTTCTTTGTTCTTTGTCCCCTCCAATAGAGCTTCTGCCTTCTTTTCCGGAAACCAGTAAATTTCATACACTACACAAGTTATTTACAGAAGATCAATACTGAACTTCAAAGCTTGATTTGTTGTGGCAGGACCTCCAAGTTTTCATAAACACCTGAACAAGTGTCGGAGCCAAGAAAAAGAAAATGAGAATACTCACAGTAATATATTTGTACATGATAATAATTCTCAATCCTGAGCTAAACATCTTAATTTCTGCATATCAGTTTAGAGCAATTTCCTAGGAAAAATGACTTGTGGCTAGTCACTGATGTCCTTTATTTGATTTATGCAATGCAAATAAAATAGTGTTCTCCTCTATCGACCTCCAAAAATGACAATTTAAAATTTATGTCCAAAATTATTACTCACACCGTCCCAAAAATTAGAATTGTAATGGTAATGGAAACCCCTCCCCAACAAAGCCTATCCCTATCTTGGGAACCATTGTACATTTTTAAACATCTATACACTTGCTTACCTTACCAAAAAAAAAAGTGCTTGACATTGCAGGAAGTTACTAAGGTGGTCTTGAATAGAACTGATATAGCAGTTCATCATATAAATAATTGCTAAGAAGATACGAGGGTTCGCAGCCTATAGTGTGCATTTGTGGGTGTGTGTTGAGTGTTTACCTAACAACAACAACAAAGAAAAAAAAATAAAAAAAAATAAAAAATACTAATGTGTTCTCCCCAACTCCTACTTTATGAGATGCAAAATAAGCCTGCTATTGAACTGGTCTCCATACCCCTCAAATTCACCAGTTCACAACTCCTCCCTTCCCCATTGGGAACATAATCCATACACTAATAGCCTAGTAAGTTTCAGCTAGGAGTCAAATTTCCTTGAAATTGCTTGGAAGCACACCTAAAGTGTTTGCATAACTCCAGAAAAATACTATCCCTAATCACTTGGAAAGGGGAAAAAATAGAAAAAGAAAAAGAAGGAAATATACTTTCAAACCATAAAATATTACTATACCGTTTCTAAGAGAAAGCTACGGAGAGAATCTCTCAAAATCCATCCTTGAATTATTCCTGATTGATGGAAATAGTCGTTCACGAACATTTATTCGAGATGGCTGACGGGATTCTTGAGAAGGTGATACTGTTGAAGCTTCTTTCCTAGAAGTCCTCGTTGACTTAGTTTCTGAGTTTCTCACCTCTTTGCATGCCTTATCCAACATGATCAAGAAATCTCGGACAATCACAAATAAACGCAGGCCTTCATCCTTCCCTGCATCCCCATGGAAGTAGTCTGCTGTGCTCTTCACCAAAGCCATTATCCTCTTTTCTTCCTCTTGCAGCCATGTGATATCAACATTTGCATGTTGCACAAAACCAGCTAGTGTATCATGGAACTCACTCTCTTCCTCTATACTTTCCATCTCAGTGTTAAGGAACTCTTTAGCTTTTGATAGTGACTGGCTAAGTTTGGATATTGTTGCTGGTAGGGTATCACCATCTATGAGTGCTGCCTTTTTTACATGTCTAAGTACATTGCCTAATCCTGAAACCACCTGAAGACCAAGGCTTCTATAATATTCATCTGTTTCTTGTGTAGAATCCTCAATAAGGTCTTCCTTTTTTGTGCTGGACGTTCTCTGGCTCTCTCTTGCTGTACGTGCAGCTCGTACACCTTCTGACCGAAGGATTTCCTCAACAACAAAGTGCAGGAGAGTGGTCTTTCCATCAGTTCCTTTCACATCAGACAGTTTCAAGAGTGTGTCGAGCTTGAATGCCTGTGCGCCTCCACGGAAGGTACCATCATTCATGCGGTTGCCAGTTTTGAGAACTGCTTCTAAAAGTTTCAAAAACAGTCTGCTGCTTCTGAGCTCCTTGCAAGCTACCTGTAATTAGGATAGGGCATGAGTAAATGACAAGAACCAAACGTCTGGTGTTCGTTTAAGTAATAATAACTATCAGATGCTAAAGGTGCATTCATCCGTTCTTGTGACTTCAAAGCCATATCACCCTTGAGGGTGCCATCAGAGTCTCCAAACTTTTGCTTGGCAAATCACATATATAGTTTACTTAACAAGGAGTAACATATTTCACAAAAAGAAATATTTCATGTTTTTTAAACTTAATCAAACAATCAACATGACTGTCTGTGGTACAGAAACGTGATCTCGATGCCAATGGTAACATTAATAAGTAGAGAAACAGACACATAAAGAACAACAACAAAAAATAACTTAAATGTTCTGCGACATTACAAACTGTGTCCAGTTAGACATTGAAGTCATTACACAAATTTCAATAGTGAATTACATTTATAGATTGGATAAGTTACCTCTAAAGTTGCAAATGACTCCTTAATGGAAGAGACTTCCTCCTGAAGATAACTCATGAACAATATTGACTCCAGCCGTTTGAAGGCAAAAGGGATTTTAGCAATAATTTTAAGGAACCTTTCAGCAGGGCCAAGTTGTGAAAGCTTCCCACTGAATGACCTAAGCTTTAGTTCTTCTTCTGTTGTTGGTGCCATCTTCAATAAAGTTTGAACAAGCTCTGCAGGAAGCTCGTTACCTGAAAATTAAGAAAGAGGTCAATCCACTTAAACCTAAGAAATAAGATGCACAAAAAGTCCAAAAATTATGTTTTTATGACCACAGGGATGTGGTAGTAGCTGCATATTATATTTTAGTTTATATTTTGTAAGAATATTATGTCACCTTAAAGTAATTATATACAACAAAAACCTAAACGCAGCAGTAAGAAGAGGAAGACTAATTTTGTAAAGAGCGTAAGAGAGGGTGACTGAAATTAACATGGGATGAAGTTATTAAAATTGATTGTAAAAATAATATTTTAGGGGAGATGACTTGTAATAGAAAAGAATAGAAAAGAGAATTCATGTAACCGACCCCTTTCATATGGCATCAAGGCAAGGACAATAATGATGAATGTACTCATTTAGCCTTGCCACTGTAATATTATTTCAAATGATTCTGATCACTCCAAATAATCAATTCAAATAGGCAAATGATCAAGTATCAAATTAGGAATTCACAAAGCAAGTACGGAAACATAAATAAGAGAGTTAAATCGATCATTTCTTTTTTTTTAGAAAGACACAGAATGGAGGTTGTCTGACCTAAAGCTAGATATCAATAATTAATATCAAGACTTGAATTGATGAAGGCACATAACATTGATCGACAAATTTGAACCTCCAATGGAGCAAACGCATTGGATGTATATTTATTTTTTTCACTGGGATAACAAATTTTGTAACTATCACGTTTAAAAAGGTAAAAAAAGAAAACAACGATCTAGACTTGACAAAAAAAAAAAAAAAATCAAGTTACTAAACTAATCATCACCACCAATACATGCTATTTTTAGAGAGAGTCCTACTCTAAGTCAACATCTATATTGAATGCATGTGTGCTTGTGCATATTCCTAGAGATGTTGTTTTCTATATGAAAGTTTACCTGGACATCTGATTTTATGAGGAAGACCAAGATAATTATTAGTTCTTATTTATTACTCACAGTATAGTAAATTGTGCTACAGGCAACATTGCATATCATTGACAACAAGGAAGGTTCTTTGTGAGTTTAGATTTGATGGGGAGCTCAATTGAATTGGCTAAGTCTCATTAAACTGCCGCAATCCCCCTTCTCCCAGAGAGTGTAGAAAAAAAAAAAAAAGGGACTAAAAAGAAAAAAGACAGATGGTGGCTTCATACTAACAGAACCCCAAACCACATCAAATCAGAATTCTTCTTTCATGCTCAAAAGAACTAGTTTCTTTCTACATGTTAATCACATAAAAATTTTCATCGTTGATGTCCCATATTATCTCAGAGACAGGTTGATTTCACATATTAACTCGGGGAGAGAGAAAGAGAGGGAGTCACCATTCTTGAGGGCATCACAGACTTCTTCTGTTGTCACGTGCAATGATTTTAGAAGAATCGCTAAATTTTGTGACTTCTTAGCATCAATAATCTGAACATACTGGGTGGAATTTTCAGAGGATGAAAAATCCTTCCTGAGCTCATGTCTGTTTTTACTCGCGGGAGGAGTGTAACAAAATAGACTTTCAATCCTCTCCTCATTGAACCTGCAATTTCAAAATAAAAATTCAGCAATTTTCTTGACAGATTGAGGTAATTATTTGTTCTTTGTAACATCAAAGTAAATGATGTGAAAAATATTAAAGCCTTACTGGAATGACCCAGTTCTGAGTTCGTGCCAAACCATTGAATGATTAGGGCTTGCAAGAACCTTGTCCCAGAAGAATGGCTTCAACTTTGTTTTTGGAGTGACAGATTCAGTGGATAGGTCATTTCCCTCCGCTGAAGAAGAATGTCCATGATGATGTGGTACAAGAGGTGAAAGTTTGGTCGGATTACCAGATTTTGATGGAAGAGGCGGAGGCTGAACAACTTTTTTTGGAGGCGGCGGAGGTCTAGGAGCAGGAGGTTTAGGTGGAGGAGGAGGAGGAGGTCCAGGGGGTGGAGGAGCTGTTCTTCCAGGTGGAAGGGGTAATGGTGCTTCGGTATCTTCAGATGCAACAGTGGTTTCCTGGGATGATTGGGTGTTGACCAGTGAGGAATCAGGGATAACAGCCACAGTAGCAGAATTGTTAGCAAAGGACATAGTCTTAAAAATTCTATTACTTGCATTTCCTACATTTTGATACTTTTGTGGAGAACCTGAAAGACACAATTTAAACTAGTCACCATAAGTACTAAATTAAAGTTTACAATACAGCACTTAATCCTCATAATAAATACCAGCAGAGTGGAGGAGAGGTTTCTCATCTCTTTGTCCGTCTATGGGAGCTATCTTGTTTTCGTTACCCTTACATAAGCAAAATAAGAGCAGAGCGGTAAGGGAAAGTATAGCCACAACTACTGAAGCTATAGTAACAATAATATACTTCCGGATGGTGCTTTTATACTCTGAATGTGGAATTGGACTACCAAGTGGTCCTGGTGGAGGATTTTCATCAGCCAAAGGTGGAGGAAGGAGGGGTGGATTTGGAGTGCGGGCCGGGGGCCACGAATTTCTGGGAAAAGATGATGCTGGAGCAGGGCTTACTGCTTTGCTATCACGTGACCTACTTATCAGGTGCCTTCTGGGAACATTAGGCCAACCAAAAGGCAATGGTAGGCACTCAATGAACCAAGTCTTAGTGCCAACCTCTTTGCCAGAAGCATGAAATGGAAAATTGTTCTTTCTTAAGCAATCAAAAATATTTTGTTTCACTTGGGGAGGCAGATCGGTAATAGCCTGTGGGAGCGAGGGGTCAAAATCTTCAAAGGCTTCCATATTGTCCTTCAATTCTTTCTTGTAATGAATCCACACCTGCTCAGCCTGAATACAAGATATTTCAGAATATTAGGAAACAATTATTCAATTTATAAACTTATATTGTATTTAATGCTACAAATTCAAGATAACAAATAATATTTATTCAGTTTTTTCTCAACTAAACAGAAATCACATTTTCTCCTCTCTGACTTGCTTCTGGATCTTCATGAGAAATTTTGAGTGTTCTCAGGACAACCTAACAAGGTAATTTGAACAATAAAATTTGAAAGAGGTGAATCATTATTTTTACCCATAATAGTTTACAAGGGAAGTGCATGCCAATAAATCTAGTGATACTGCTATAATTATTATTACTATTTACAAATTGGCAAACAACAATATATAATTCGTAGTTGGTACTCATTCCTTAGTGGTTTAAGTATCGTGTGTAGTGTGTCTAAAATCATCGATAATTGTTGGGTTGGACCTCCTTCGCTAATAAGCCATGTTGAATTCCTTAGTGATTTAACTATTGTGTGTAGTGTTTCTAAAATCATCAATAATGGTTGGATCGGACCTCCTTTGCTAATAAGCCATGTTGCATGTGCTTCTACATGGTTAAAACCCCAAGTTCAAGAAGTTGGTTAATGAACACTGGACTCTTGCAAGTTCAAAGGTACACAGTAAATGATTGAAGCTTTTGAAGCCTCAATGGCAAATTAGAAGCACAAGTGCCCCTAGTATGCTTGTTCTCAGGCAATAGCAGTGAAGGAATTTTGATTGAATTACCTGCATAGAACAAAGTTTAGTTTTTCATGAAAGAAAGCTACTAGTTCTTCCATTTCATTATAGACTCTTTTTCTTCTTTAAATAATACTATTATCTTTTTCTATGAAAAATTATATATTATTCCGTGCCTTTAAATTCTAATGATGACAATCTCCAAATACTGCAACAACAGCAGAACACAATCAGTCATAAATATGCCACCTTATAGAACAGCCAGCTGATCTTCCAAACTTGCATATATGCATGAAGGTGCTTTATGCATTAGTCTCCAACACATCCTCATTCCTCGTCAACCGGCATATCTCACCATTTTGCTAACTCAGTAATTCATTGGCAATGCCTTTGGAAACTATTACAATTACCCACAAGTTGTGCATTCCTTGAAGACCTAATTGTCCATGAAATTAATTTTAAAATTTAGAAAGGAACATTGACCAAAGTGTAAATACAAATTGTAATATACCCAATTCATCATTTATATCAATTATAACTACTAAACACAAAAGATTCAGAAAAGTAGACATCAAGCAAAGGTTTGTTTACATATCTAAGATTCAAGCAACCATTCATATTGCTTTAGGAAAACGTAATAATATCTTAAATTCTGATAAACAAACAACAAAACACACACACACATATGCGTTTAGAATGAGAAAATAAAGTGAAAATGATCGTACTTTTTCTTGGTTCATGTCTCTGATATTCCAAGTGATACCATTGCCAAGAAGTTTGCCTTCCAAATTCCGAGCCGCCATTGCGCAAAGAAAAACAACGAACAAAACAACAGACCGGACTCCTCCGGTGTCCATTGATTGTGTTTTTCTTTTGCATTCCCAGAAAATCCCTCTCATCCCATTGTATAACACATACGAATTACACCTATATATATATAGATATTGTATATTGAATTGCTCTCCGCGCCTAGCTCTCAGCCTCAGCGTGAAATGCCACGCAAAACCCAGAAAGCCTTGTGCCCTATTTCAACTTTTACGCAAAATTCACAGCAATTAATTGCTCAAACAGAGCTCTGATCAAATCTGTAATGCGACAATTGTCTGTATCAAATTTGATCTTTTTGTTCCGAAAATTTTAAACCCTTTTCAGGTTTCTTCTTAGATTTTCTGTTGGGATTTTTTGTTGGTTGGAATATCTCAAGTTTTTCGGGGAGCACAGAGAGAAATAGAGAGAGAGAAGTGACACGAAAGAGGTCGTGCACAGAACAACGAAGAGAGAGGCAATGAAAATTGGTGTTAGAGCCCCGTCTAATTTTGGTATTTCAGCGTTAGTGCCTCATGCTCTTGACTGTTTTTTTTTTTTTTTTTTTTTTTTTTTTTTTTTTTTTGCAATTTTCATGCGGAGTAGTCTTATTTTTCTTCACACAAAGCATCACTCATTTCCTTGTACCGATGGCAAAATAGGCCCACCCGCGGATATAAGGTGCGTCAAGAATATAACCTACTAAGAAATAAATATTAAAAAAAATAAAATATTATGTTCCTAAGCCTAAGTTATATGTAATATAATCTTATAGTAATAATAGATAATCTCGATCGATAATTGGTGATATTATAAATAATTTAATTTTAAATATAAAAATTATAAATTATTTTTATATTTTGAATTATTTGGCTTTTTGAAGTTCCTTAAGTTATTGGATCCGAATTTGTAACATTCTCTTTCACCCGAACCCGTGTAGCACTCTTGTCGTTACGGTTGAGTCACCCTGCCTACTCGGGGTGAAGATTCAGACGCCCTTCGGGCCGCGGGTGCTTGGCGGACACTATATCAAGAACTGGGTCTTGACTCTGATGCCAACTGTAACGGGTAGGTGCATGTCCATTTACCAAAAAACTTAAGTTATCGGGTAATGTTGCATACCCACCCATTTATACACATTTGAATTTTCATCCAGATCCGATGCGAAACAAGTCCCACTTATAACACTTATCCACTTTAATAAAATTTTCGAATAGAAATTAGTTAGCTTGAGTTAGCCCCACCCAAGACCTACCCTTACCCATTATATTTGAAATTTTAGTTTTGGAGTTTTTGATGAGTTTTATTTTGAAAATATGCATATGAGGTTCGGGATGAAAATGTTACTTGTCCTATTTACAACACTCGGTATGAAAAAATAAAAAATATTACTTTCATTTTGTACTTTATGATACATGGTCTATAAAATTACTCCTCTTGTTAGAAGAATGTTAAGTTGTTAACTCTCATTTAGTTAATTTGGTATAATTATGTAAATTATAGAATAATTTTTAATTTGTTTATATTTTTAAATACAAATTTTAAAAATTTGAGTGAAAAAAAAAGCCTTTAAGTTGGTGCTAAAATTATTTGTTAAACAATTTTGACAAAAGACAAGATAGGAAAACTTAAGTGAAAGCGGGGAAGGAGAAGGGGTCGGCCCCAAACTTCCTAATTGCCATCCCTCTCATTTATTTTTGTTAGCATGATAAAATTTGCACATAATGAATGAGTTTATACCGTTATATATAACAAAAAAATATTCAAGTAATAAATTACGCCTAACTAAAATCCTTAAAAAGAAAATGATTGTCTAACCAAAGAGGTTGGACAAAAGTATGTGACTTGATGATATTAAAATGTCAAACACTAACTTTAAAAAGTCACTGGTTCTTCTTGACGTGTAGGTGAATGAATTTCATATTGGTTAGTGAAGAAAAAAATATGGGATTTTTAAGGGATAAGGTCACATTGCCTAATAGGTTAATCTTTTGAATTCAATACTCCTATCCCAATAATTGATATTAGAGTCAGGTTCAAAGAGTCGCATATGGACTCAAGATCCCCTATCCAACACAAAGAAGGGAAGGTTGGTGACGTTATATCCACCGAGGAGAGCCTCATTCAAGGTCTCGGTAATATTCTATCCCTCGAAGAGTGCCTTGTTCAATGGAAATTGTTGAAAAATGAACCACTCCCATATCGATTAGTGAAGAAATAAATCCGAGACTTATACTGAGTAAGGATCACTCTATCTAATATGTTAAGGGCCTGTTTCGTGTTTGTTTTACCATGTTGTGTCTTGTTCTGAAAATGCTACGGTACCACTATTTTGGCCCAAACACATGTTTGGCATGGCCTGTAGTGTTTTCAACAGTGCAAGAACATTTTAGAAGAATGCCCCAAAAGTTGAAACAAAATTTTCATGTTCTGCCTTGCTCCCAAAATTTGGCCAGCCCACTAATAACTGTAGCGGGTGGAACAACAACCCAAACTTGTTCCATTTTGAGAAAAGGTATAAAGTAAATTGCAAAACATTTCTAGGGTTCAAGCAAGGCGATTCAGAGGCGATTCACAGTGTTGTACTTGTCACAAAAGTGGGGTTGAAATCGACACCATTGAAATAGATTTGAAGCTTTTCGAGAGTCGTCTTCTTCTCACCGGTGAGTTCCTCTGCTTCTTCTTCATCAGAATTCGTTGTGCTCTGTCTAAAGTTGATATTGTTGTTTGAAGATCGGGCTTCAAATTGACCAGTGTGTATGCAGATCTGAAGAGAAACTCCCTCTGTCTCACCTCTGCGTTTTCCGGCGAACCCAAGCTTCGCCGCTGCTCTCTGTACTCTCAGATTGTCTTATCTCTGTCCATAATCTCCCCAACCTCTCTCTATTTCCTCATTTCTCTCATCTCGGTGTGTCTTCTTTTGATACTGATTCTGAATTCAATTATATAATGTACATAATTCTTTAACTCTGCATTTTTACAGTCGTTTTGGTTTTTCGAAGAATGAGAGGAAAGAAGAGAGAGTCATAAAAATCTCTTACAATATATTTTACACTCATTTTGGTTTCGATAATATACTTTAACTTCACAAATTTAAAACCATTTATCAGATTGAATTGGGAAATATCTGAATTCAATTGGCAAAAGTTGATAAAGAACCCTAATAAATTTGTCTAAGATGGGTAATCCTTTCTTTCCCTCGCAAATATTTCTTACAGCATCAATAGTATAAGAAAAAATTAATCAAATTTGATCTACTGAGACATATACAAAAGTTCATCCCTATGTATAATATCTCCAAAATGGAGTCCAAAGATCAACATCCCTAGTCTATGGCACCGAATGTATACAATTTTTTCTCACATCACCCGTCTTTCTTTTCTCCATGAACTTAGTACACCTTGTTTAAAGAGGGATATAATGGAGGAACTTTGGACGTAAGTTCATTGATGAAGGGGCTTCATTTTATAAAATCAAATGAAACTAGCGCGACCTGGTTTCTGATTCTTCATATATCACAATTGAGTGCTTACCTATAAAATGGAGTCTTGGTGATCAAAGGAAGTTAGGTTGACATAAAAAGGGAATGACCGACACTAGTTCTGTTCAGAATCATCTTGTACTCTTTTTCTTTGAATAATATGGTAATAATGAACTAAGATTCATTATATATCATTTATCTTAAACATTTTCTTCAACTTTTCCCAGAGCATCAGCAACACTCTAAATGAAAAATTGTAATGAACCCTCCTATGTGATGAGAAATTATATTTGCAGTTTCTATTTCCAATTAATTTGTTGTTGGTTTTATGTTTGGCTGAAGGTTTTTACCTTATGCAACAATCAATACTTAAAATGATATTGTAACTTTCATCTCTCTCATCTCGGTAGGTTTTTACCTATGCAACTTTCTTCAACTTAAAATTTTTATTTAATTTTTTTTTTGCCCTTTTTGGTAGATAATTCTACAAATTACTGGACTTGTCCTATTATGAGTCAATTTCGTTCATATTCATAGCATAGGTTAGATCTTGGTTAGATCTGTAGTTTTTAGTATACCTTTTCTCTTTTAAGGTGAAAAGACGAGGGTTTAAGTCAGGGTTTCAGAATTCTAGGCAAGTGATAGTTAACTATTCTGCATTTAAGTTAGGAATTTAATCCCTGTCTGTCATGCTAAGTCAAAATAATAATAATAATAAAATGCGCACACTTGTAATATTACTTGGATCCATCCCATTAAAGCCAATCACAAAACAAAAATAAAAGGTCCCAGGTGGTTATTAGGATAATAATTGAGTGATATTTGCTATTGGAATGGGAGCAGTCCCAGAAAATCACCCTTTTAACTCATTCTTATTAAAACTATGTAATTAGATGGATATCAATGATAACAATATGGTGGGAGAAGAAATAGAGGACCTTACAGACAATACCGATGATGAAAAACTAGTATGGGATGATTCTTAGCTCGAAGCTTTCATCATCTGTATGGAGGAAGAAGTGAGGGCTGGTAATCGGAATAACACAACTTTTACTCCAATTGGTTGGAAGAATATACTAAAAGGCATGACGGTCCATACAGGGAAGAAGTATGTACCGAAACAACTTAAGAGCAAATTCAACCACATGAGAGTAGACTACAAAGCCTTTGTGAGTTTGTTAGTAGAAACAGACGTGGGATACAATGCTGAGACGGGCATGGTTATAGTTGAAAAAGAAAGATGGACTAGATTGATCAAGGTTAGTTATTCAACTAAATGTATGTTGATTTTACAAAAAAGTACTCTTAACTTAATATTAATAGTAATTTAATAATTTGTAGGTGAATGCCCATTATGGTAAGTATCGAAAGAAGCCATGCAATCATTTTGACAAACTCACCACCATATTTGGAGGCACACACACTACAGGTGCACATATCCATACTTCTTACAATCCACCCATTATCAACCAAGCCCCCGCACACCATGCAGGCATACATACCTCATTTGACCTTAATGATTATTTTGCTAAGTTAGGCGGTCATGAGTTCAGTCCTTCTTCTGAACCTCGTGGTAAGAAATCAAAGAGAGAGAGAGAGTTTTGCCTCCACAATGAGCGATGTCATGCATGAAATGAGAGCGACTTATAGAGAGAAAACAGATCGAATTGAAAGGGCCATAATGGCTTCTTCATCATCTAATATGAAAACAGTCCATGAAGAATGTCAGGTTGAAGTCAATTCTCCGGACAAAACAAAAGGTGATTTTAAGTTATGTTGTTATATTTTGAATAAGTTGAAGGGCGTTGATATGAAACAATATGCTAAGGTCACCTAGATGTTATGTAATGATGAAGTTTGGAGGGATTTATTTCTTAATGACCTTCTTTGATGATAAGAGGGTTGGTTGGATCAATGGAATTTATTTGGTATGTTGCTTTTATTATGACTTTGGATGACTGTACTATTAAGTATACTTTATTTGGTGTGTCGCTTTGATTTCTTATTTGGTTTTGTTATGACTTTGGTTGATTGTAATATTAAGTACACTCGTATTTACGTTATTTGGTTTGATTGTAATGACAATATAATTATTTGGATTGCTTTGATTTTATTTGTTGTCTTGCTTTTATTTATTTTCTAGTATTTCGCTTAAGATGATTGTAATTTATCTCGTTTATTAAATTTTGTATTATACAGATGGATATTAGGACAATAATTGATTTGTATGATGATAGTGATGAGGATAATAATTGTGTTATCATAATGGCATGTATGTTGGAATATTATATGAAATATTATGATAAACAACCTTGTAGATTTTCTTTTAACCGGGAAAGCATATATAATGGAGATCTTGCAGGGGCACGGAAGTAGATGTTTTGAAAATTTCAGGATGTTCACCCCTGTTTTTTTGAAGTTGTGTGGGGAGCTTAAGTCATTAGGGTTGAAAGACTTTACAGGTATAAGTGTTTATGAACAAGTTGGCATATTCTTGCTTATAACTCATAATGAAATGAATCGTGTGGTCGCAGAAAGATTTCAACACTACCTATACAATTTCAAAATACTTCAATGCGGTTTTACAAAAAGTCTGTGATTTAGGGAAACAGATTATTGTTCCCCTATATTTTAGCCAAGTTCCTAACCCAATTAAGAAGTCAAAAAAGTACCACCTTTTTTAAGCATTGCGTAAGGGCAATTGATGGAACTCATGTCCATGCGAGCGTGCCTGTGGATCAGCAAATACCATTTTGTGGTTGGAAGGGGGATACCACACAAAATGTAATGGCTGTTTGTGATTTTGATATGATGTTCACGTATATCATAGTATGATGGTAGAGGTCTACTAATGATTCTAAGATATTGAACGAGACCATTAATAATGAGGATTTGCATTTCCCAATGCCTCCAGACAGTAAATGTCATATTTGCTATAATTTTACAACACTAATTTAAAATATCATGGTAAAAAAAACGTGCCTTATAGTTTGTAAAATGACAGGGAAATATTATTTGGTGGACTCCGGGTATGCCAATTAACCAGGTTTCTTGGCTCCCTACAGAAGCCAACGGTACCACTTTTGAGAGTATCGTAGAGCTTCTCGGCAACCCCAAGGTAGAGAAGAAATAATCACAAGCACTCGTCATTGCGAAATATAATTGAGCGTTGTTTTGGGATACTTAAGATGAGATTCCCCATCTTGAAGCAAATGCCCCCATATAAGTTTGAAGCTCAAGTTACTATTATTTTAGCTTGCTGCACACTTCATAACTTTATAAGAAAGGAGGCGCATGTAGATCCAATATTTAATGATGTAACTTTAGAGGCGATGATAGATGAAATTTTTGGAAATGATGAAGTTGATGTTCAGCCTAATGTGTCGCAGTCTCGCTCGCGACCAATGGATATTTTACGCGATCATATTGCTGATACTATATGGAACGCAAGTCATCACCCTTTAAATAGGATTTACATGTTTATCATGTTTAGATAACTGTAAGAACTACTTTATACTTAGTTCCATTTATTAGTATTTGGATAACTGTAATAACTACTTTATTTTAACTATTTGTTAGGATGTGGATAACTGTACTAACTACTTTATTTTAACATTAATTTACGATTTCGATAAATGTAAAAGTTGTGGTAACTATTGATTCTTTTTTCTTTTTTTTTTTTCTTTTTTTTTTTTTTTTTAACTTTTTTCGATTAGTTTAATAACTTGTATATGCAGTCATGTATAAGATACAGGGTGACGGGCCACCTTGTGCATGTGGAAGGGGTCGAATGAATTTTTATACGGCTGAAATTTCAAAGAATTATGGACATTCATTCTATATATGTCCAGTTTGGGAGGTATGCAATTTTCTTTGCATTAATAATTTTTTTTAACTATATCTTAGTGTCACAGGTGCATTCTAATAATATACAAGTCTTTGTTTTGATTTAGTCACATGATCGTGCATTTATATGGTTGGATGACATGCACCAACGTCTGCAAGTGAGTGGTCATGTGGAGGAAAGTTGGAGAATGTAGTTGCTATTATGCACGCTCAACAAAATCGGCAAAACTACATATGGTTGCTATTATAGTTATTGTTGTTGTTTTACTATAATTATATTCTTTATGTTATTGGTCATGTTGTTGTTATTGATTATTGTGGTTATTGATAAATTATGTAATATATTAGTTTAATTTTATTTCATAACTTTTATTGTGCCTGTTCACAGGTGCTGTAATATTTTTGAAACTCATGTATGTAATACTTTAACTTCATAAAATGTATAATATGTTGAAACTTTATTTCAGTTCCATATTGAAACAATATAATCCACAACTGTCAAAACAATATACAGCACTAATAGGTTTTACAATTTAGAATTTATTTTATTGGTTTTTATAATAACATAAGATAAACTTTTAACTATATATATATATATATTAAAAGTTATATCAATTGTGTATTAAAATTATACAACAATTAATTTTTACTTTATATTTAATAAAGTTATATAAAATATAATGATAAAAACATTATTTACCAAACAACCCAACCTATATATATATATATTTTTTTTAGTGATTTTGGTTACACTTTCACTCTGCTAAGCATGCTTTGTTCTCATATTTTTTGGAACAAAATATCTTACCAAACATGTTTTACCATGTTTTTGTTCCGAAATTCTCACCGCAAATTTTCGTTACCAAACATATTTTATTCTCATTTCAGAACACTACACTACAAAATACTTGTTCTGTTTTAGGCTAAAGCATTACATTACACCACATAATCTTCCCAAATGGGCCTAAGCTTTTGAGTTGGATAACCAGCCCAACACTTCATTTGTATGTGACTTGATGAAATTTCTTTTTCTTTCATGGAAAAAGTTGAAGAATTTAAAATTCCATCCTGGAGTTTTGGGCTAAAAAAAAAAAACTTTGATTAGTAGGCTTGAGATTGGGAAACAATAGAACTTTAGTTATAAGAAAGATAAATTGCATCAACATGGGGATGTAGCTCAGATGGTAGAGCGCTCGCTTAGCATGCGAGAGGTACGGGGATCGATACCCCGCATCTCCACAAGCTCACCTTTTTTGTTAATGTATTCTCTTTGTTTCCTGGGAATCAGGCATTCATTTTCATATATGCGATTATTGTTTTACCCGCCACTTTCTAAACTTCTCTCCCACCATCGAAATTTCTACAATCAGTTTTGAGTCTCCACTTCATGAATGGCACTCACATTGCCAACTTTCTCAAACAACACAACACAAGCCATCTCAAGCAACTCCAGATTCTCCTTCCTACTCACCAATACACCACCACCACCACCACCACCAACCATTTCACAGAGAATGTTCCCAATCTACCACTCACTTCCCTACAATGTGGAACCATGTTGCAGTCACTCACCAACTCCAAATCCTTCAGAAAAGGTCAACAATTGCATGCCCACATCATCTCTTGTGGCACTCTTCAAAACAACACCTATCTCGAAAGCAAGCTCGCCGCCTTCTACGCGAATTGCGGTCGTATGACTGAAGCCCAGGTAATTTTTGATCGGATTGTGTTGAAAAATTCGTTCTTGTGGAATTTCATGATCAGAGGCTATGCTTGTAATGATTTTTCTGCGCAATCCCTTGTTTTGTATCGTGAAATGCTTAGTTTTGGCCAAAAGCCTGATAATTTTACGTACCCATTTGTTCTTAAGGCTTGTGGTTTTTTATGTCTTGTTGAAATTGGAAGGTTAGTTCATAGCGAGTTGATTGTTTGGGGGTTGGAGTCCGATATTTATGTGGGTAATTCTCTTCTTGCTATGTATTCGAAGTTTGGGGATATGGGAATTGTGAGGAGAGTGTTTGATAGAATGCCCGAGAGAGATTTGACTTCGTGGAACACGATGATGATGGGTTATGTGAAGAATGGTGACCCAAGGGAGGCTTTGTTAACTTTTGAAATGATGGGAAAAGCTGGATTACTTGCAGATTGCGCCACTTTGCTTGGTGTCCTATCTGCTTGTGCTGACTTAGCAGATTTGAAACAAGGCAAAGCAATCCACGGTTATGTTCTACGTAATATTTCTGTACACGGTAATAATTTTCTGATCAACTCTTTAATTGAAATGTACTGCAAGTGTAGTTCAGTTTTAGCTGCAAGACGAGTTTTTGAGGACTCGAGATTGAAAGATACTGTCTCGTGGAATTCCTTGATTTTGGGTTATGCAAGGAATGGAGATGCTTTTGAAAGCATGAGACTTTTCTGTCGAATGGTTTTGGACGGTGTGTGGCATGATCAAGTAACTCTTGTGGCTGTCCTTGGGGCTTGTGATCAGATCACAGCCTTGCAATTTGGCATGTCCGTGCACTCATATGTAGTTAAGACAGGGTTTTGTGCAAATGCTATGGCTGGAACTGCCCTCATAGACATGTATTCTAAATGCGGAAGTTTAGCTTGTTCAGGTCGTGTTTTTGATGAGATGCCTAACAAAACTTTGGTTTCTTGGAGTTCTATGATTGCCGGATGTGGGTTTCACGGAAAGGCAAGGGAGGCTCTATCTGTTTTCCACGAAATGAAAGCGAACAATATTATACCAGATGAGGGTGTTTTCACCTCCGTTTTGTCAGCTTGTAGTCATGCAGGATTAGTTAATGAGGGTAAAGAAATTTTCTCTAGCATGACAACCGAATACAATGTTAAGCCTGCACTTGCTAACTATTCCTGTTTGGTAGATCTTCTTGGCCGAGCAGGGCGTTTAGATGAAGCATATGAGTTCATACGAAAGATGGACGTTAAACCCACCAGTGATATCTGGGCTGCCCTCCTTTCCGCTTGTAGGCTCCATCGAAATGTTGAGCTGGCTGAGTTTTGTGCCCAAAAAGTGTTTGAAATGAACCCTAAAGCAGTGGGCAGCTACATTTGCCTGTCCAATGTGTATGCCGCGGAGAAAAGATGGGATGATGTAGAAAGAGTGAGAGCCTTGGTAAGAAGGAAGAGACTGAAGAAACCACCTGGCTGCAGCTTTGTCGAGTTTGATAGGATGGTTCACAAGTTCTTGGTTGGAGACAAGTCACACCCGCAAATGGCAGAGATATATGCCAAGTTAGAAGACTTGTGTCAACAACTCAAGGAAGCTGGATATGAGCCTGATACAAGTTCAGTGTTTTATGATGTTGAAGAAGAAGTGAAACAGAAGATGCTTTGGGATCATAGTGAAAGACTGGCCATTGCATTTGCTCTGATTAACACTGGTCCAGGGACCATAATTAGGATTATGAAGAACCTTCGAATATGCGGAGATTGTCACACAGTAACGAAACTCATTTCCAAGCTCACTTGTCGAGAGATTATTATGAGGGATATTCATAGATTTCACCACTTTAAAGATGGATTTTGTTCTTGTGGTGATTATTGGTGATTGAATCTTTAAGCAAAATGTAATTGCACATTTTGAGCAAGTAGTGGGAAATGTAGCAGATTCAAAAGATGTATCTGAATTTGTTCAAACAAATCGCAGAAGAAGTTGAAGAACAATTTATTTGAATATCGACTCTGTTACTGTTCAAACTCTAATGATTTTGTGTTAAACAATACTGGTCTAATATTTTTGCAGTAGGACGAAATTTGTGTGGACAATGTGAGACATGGCTTGTGCATTTTATGTTCAAATTAAAAATAAAAAAAGATCATAAAATCATGACTACCAAGATACACTTGGTCACTTGAACGACTTGAAAGAAACAAGTGGTACCAAATTATTGTCCCACAAATTATTTATTTCTTTTCCTTATGCTACAAATTATTGACCATTGGTCTCCTATTTAGTGAAAAAAAGAAAAACTTCACTTGTTTTGCTTGGTGTGTCACATTTATAACCCTAATACTATGCGACTAGGATGGAAAGAATTGTACCGGTTGTGGTGCACGCACAAATTTGAGAATAACAATTAGTAACAATGTTAGAATTAGGTCTTGAACTAAATTTGAGTAATCCTTTATTAAATAGAATGGCGTATCTCAATTGAATCTGCATTTCTAGTCCTAGTAAGAATGGTTTAGATAATACTCTATCCGTTCCAAAATAAGTGTCATGTTTTCCTTTTTGATCTGTCCCAAAATAAGTGTCCACTTTCTTTTTTTAAGCAATATATTTCACATCTTTCCATATATGTCCTTTGAGTTTTAAATTTTAAATTTGAATATTCAAAACTTAAAAGGACAATTTAGTAACTTTTTAGGGAGACAATGCATGCCTCACATGTCCACTTAAAAATTATTACTATCCAAACATGATACTTAAATTGGGATAGGTGAAGTATTTACCAACAAAAAAAAAAAGAAAAAAAAAAATGGTCATATTCGTAATAAATGGAATATGAAGGGTATAGAATATAGTGTGAGGAGAGGACCAAACCTCCACACTGCCAGCTCCGTCCCAATGGTGACATGGCAGACGTACCTGTCAGGTTCAATTCCCCATCTATTCCTTTGACAGCTCAACAGTCATGTAGTCAACACATCCCTCTATTTATTTACTCTTTTATTCTATAAATTTCAATTAATTACATACCTCGGACAATTTATAGTGGTTAGTATTCTTATTTTTCATTATTTTATTTTAGCAAAGTAGTATTATACTTTATAATAATTCTCATGTGTTAATAGGAATATATTGGACGAGAGATGGAATGAAGAGAAGAAAGACTGAATGGGGTACCTTACCAAAGGAAATGCAATCTTTTCATATCTTTTGTTTTATTGAATGAAAGAGAAGAAAAAAGATTGACAATTTATAATTGATTCAATAAAGAAAAAAAATTAAATGGAATGAAAAGAAGAATAAATTGATTAGACATCCTCATAGAAGAATAAATAATTTTTAACATTATACTCAATGCTATTTACAGTATTATAATTTATAAAAGACATTATTATAATTTAAATTTTTTTTATAATAACCTTACTTGATAAAAATTTGTGAACCAGATTCATTCTATTATGGCCTTTTCATTGTCTTCTCTACCTAACAACTTTGTTCTAGTCTTCCCATCCTTCCTCAACCCCCCTTTTTCTTCCTACTTGCAACAAAATATTAGTGGTAATAATAATAAATCATATAGATTGACCCCACTAACTAGAAATTATGACAATGATAATGATAGTAATATTGAATGATAATTTTTTTTTACTCTCAAATATTTATATTTTAAAACTTTGTTTCAAGTCTTCTAGAGATTAATTGAATTCTTGTACTTTGTAATATGAATTTAGGATTTAGTGTAATTCCCGACTTCATAAATAACTCCCAATGCAAAATTCCTTACATTATTTTTTATTTTCATTTTTTCTCATTCAAATTCCTGTTATTTCAAATTTATTAAAAGAAATACTGTAAACCCAAACCAATAATATACCTGAAATAACTCAAAACTGTAATTGCAAGAAAATTGAAGGGTAATTATTGACGAGTTTACCCCTCTCCCTCTACTGCAAACCTTATTTGGTGAAACTTTTTCCCAACCTTTTCATTACCTAAACCGACCGAAGACCCAAATGCAGACTCAGTCTTCTTCGTCCTCTCCAACCCAAAAACCATGAAAAAAAGAAGACGACAACGACCAACGCCAAAACAAAACAGACCCATCTCAGAACCTCCATTTCTGACCCTAATTTGTAACTGAAACCAGAAGAAAAAATGTGTTATGTGGGCAAAGCAACCAAGATCTTCATCTTCATAGTCACAGCACTGGTGGTCACCGGCCTCGTCTTGGGATTTGGGGTTTTCCGGCACGACATTCAGAAGACCCACAATTGCTCCGGCGATTCGTGCCACCAGAACCCAGATGTGTTCCCCAACCCTAGTCCTGACCCTGCTGCCTGGAATCTCACCAGTCCGGTACCAAACCCCAATCCTGGCCCACCTCCGCCTAGCCCGGACCCTAGCTCCACCTCCAATCAACCTCCACCTCCACCTAGCCCAAATCCTCCTAGTTCGACGAGTAATCTACCTCCACCTCCTTCTCCGCCTCCGCCTCCTCCTCCGCCTCCGGCGGTTCCAGAGGCTTATCCGCCGACGTTGAGTCCTCCGAGCCCGGTGGTGGGTACTCCAGGTCCAGTGCATTCTTAGCTTGCTGCAATTTTCGGTTGATGATGCATCGTCTTGATTTGTTATTATCATCATTATTTTTTATTTTATTTTTTTTTTTGCTCCATTGACTCTGTATAGAAAATCAGATGTTGCTGTTCAAGGTTTTTAAAGGCAGTTTTCTTTTTCTTTTTTCTTTTTTTTTTTAAATTCCCGAATTTATCCCTGAAGATAAGGGATCTTAGTAGACGTCGATGTTGTTATTCTCGATGTCTCACTTAATTACGGGTAGTAATTTGACCGTAGGGATGGAATAATTGGACATAATCCCTTAATACAATTAGTTTTAATTTTGTAGGGTATAGATTAATTTGATTACTAGTTTAAATTCGACATGGATGGAAAATGTAAGGGGATAATTGTGGACACCAGTAAGAATGCTGTCATCTACTCATGTTATACATATATATATATATATATGTGTGTGTGTGTGTGTTTGCAGATAGTAATAAAGTCGACTTCGAAAAATGTGACTAATAAAGTAGAACAGAGATATTATTGTTGAAAATTCTAATGTGTTGAATCACACAATTTAAGTATTGAGTTGTTGAAAATTTTAATGTGTTGTAGTCCGATATAATTGCATTGATTGCATACACTATCCTAGAGCAGACAATTTGTTACCCCCATACACAAGTAGAATGGGACGGAAGTAGTATATTTAGTAAACATGACCGAGTTACGTCAAGGAATTCATTTAGAGCTACAAATTGAGTAATTTTAGGGGGTTTATTTCTTGTGGGTTGTTTGGCTTATTTGGAGATAGGCAGCGTCAACAACTTGGTTGGTGAATCACAAACGCAGACAGCCCCACCTCACCTCACCCCTACAGCACTTTGACAGTTAAAATTCAACCTCCTTTTACATTGTTGGACCTACCAACCTTTAGCCATACCTTGGTAGGAATATGATACTCCCTCCATTTCAAATTAAGCGTTACTTTTGATAACTGCAACTCACATGTTTCTGTCCCAAATTAAGAGTCGCTTTTAGTAACTGAGAGTGTCGCTTTTGGTAACTGCGACTCACATGTTTTCGTCACTTAATAACTGCGACTCACATGAGTCGCTTTTAGTAACTGAGAGTGTCGTTTTTGGTAACTGCGACTCACATGTTTTCGTCCCAAATTAAGTGTAGCTTTTGGTAATTTGGGACGGAGGGATTATGATATGATACGATATCATTTTTAGAGATTTGAACATTAATTCTCATGCTATGTTTTGTGACACCCAAACAACGCCTTACAAACCAATTTGATGCTTCCAACATAACATCAGCTTCATCACTATTGCTGGGACTCACCGGTAAGGCCACTGCTATCCTATAGCAGTATTATTTATTTCAGTAGCTTAAAAGGCAAAAAAACCTAAAGGGTAAGATATTTTTTTGGGAATTTTGTTTCTGTAAAGAAACTAGAATTCGTCGCATATAGCTAATATAGTTAGTGATAGTGGAGGAAAGGATAGGAGGACTGAACCTGGGATCTATAGTGTGGGACTCTAAAGGCGTGACCCTTTGACTCTAAAAGTTTGACAGTTATGGGAAAGATGTGTTTGGCATTTTGAATAAAGTGAAGCCTCTTGGGTCCAGATATATGACAGGTTGAGAATCCAATGTAATTCATCTTCCATTTTTCCTTGGACGAGGAAAGTGGCTTACTGATTACCAGATCTAAAAAACACTCATTTTACCCAAAGTTTCTGTTTCTCCAGCTATGACCTATATAAATGGGGGCTGGTGGTACACCATGGGACCTGCAATTATTACTCCCTATTATTTTCTGGCAAACACTTCCGAATATTTGCTACACTAATTATTTATTTTATTTTTAACGTTCAAGTAAACACACCACTATATATATTTTTGGCCCACTCACCACTGTATATATTTTTGGCCCACTGAAGGGAACACACAAGTTACACAACCGGGCAGTAATCTAGTTAGTGTGAAGTTCATTACCAACAAGTATGTAATTACCAATTTCAAAAGAAGGTTCATACTTTATCCTACGGTTCCTACCCTTAAAAAAAAAAAAAAAAAATGGGAGAATACCCAAAACAGAAAAATGATGGAACGTGTTATTTGCAATTTTAATTAAAAAAATATATTTTTGGCCCACTAAGAGCGGAACAGACAACCGTGCAGTAATAATCTAGTCAGTATGAAGTTCTTACTAGTGAGTATGTCATTACCAATTTCAAAAGAAGGTTCATAACTTCATATTACCCTTAAAAGAAAAAAAGGTGCATACTCAAAACAGAAAGATGATGGAATCTTTTATGAGCAACTTCAAGATCACATTTATTGGGGTGTGTGTTTTTTTTCATCCATTTATTTGTGGCTCAGAATGGAATTTCAAGTATTTATTCTTTGATATGAAATTTAAGGTGGGAATGACCATTTTTTTGGAACATCTTAATCTTTAAAATGGTCATTTTATTTTCAAGTAAAACTTTAAAAAGAAAAAAAAAAAAATCAAATATCTAAAATACTAGATCCATGTGAATTACTATTCGATTCGATTTGGGTTGGGTTAGACTGGAGTTTTTAACCGGGGTCAAGCGGATGTCGCGATCCATTCGATCCAAAAGTCACCACTTAGACGGGTGATTATTATTTCATTCTGATGTAGAACTGATTGCCGAAACCTTTATGGTTCGTTTGAACCGCCAATGAACCAAATGAGCATGCTGACAGATTTTCTGGACTGATCTGAAGGGTCTGTTTTTTACCCAATTGGAGAGGTTTTTTTTTTACTAGAAACTGGTCAATGAGCAAGACACACCGCTACAATATGACTTACGGCGTATTTCGGTAAAATACCATTGTTTCTGTCCTACAAGAAGCCTGGTGAATATTTCAGAATTTTTGTTCGTTGTCTAAACGAATTCTGATTAAGGTTTAGTATTGCAGTTAGTTTTCATACAAATTAGAGTTTTCTTTCATTATAAATAGGACAATACTTGCCTACTTACCGGTAGGTAGAAAGTTCATACTTACTTTGATGTGGCGCAAAATTAGTGGAACATGTGTCCCTACAATATAAAATAATAAAAATTAAAAGATTTGAGAGGTTATTCAGATTAAACCTAATATGATCCAAATTTAACTCTCTCTTCCCCTCTCTCTTACGCAACTTCAATAAAATAATATTATAAGATTCAAACAAAGCGGTGGATGATTAATAGAATGAAGAACAATAAATGTAATGATATATAGATATTTATTTTCAAAAAAGAAGATAAGAAATAAGTAATAACAATCTATCCTACAATCAACAAATCATGTGAATTGGATTTTATAAAATTGGGTGTACTTTAGATTAAAACAATTGATAAATATATATGTAAGGATTGCACATTAAACCATGAAAGATAAAAGTAAAAACTTTCGGTATTAGCAGATTAGGGTTTTAACAGAATAATTTGAGAGAGAGAGAGAGGGAGAGAGTTAAATTAGGATTTGATTTACATCCTTTTGGGTTGATTTGGTAAGCATTCAATTTTTTAATTTTTATTATTTTCTATTTTATAGACACTTGTCACATTATTTTTGCGTCACATCATAGGTAAACATGAACTATTTACTCGCCGGTGAGTAAACAAGTATTGTCCAAATAAATATATGTAAATGCAGACAGCATAATCATTCATTCAATTATTCAATATAATATAAAATTTTCTCTTAACTTATATCTTGTTTTGTAAATTGAAAACTTCATACTTTGTAAATTCAAAGTAACCCGTTTCTTTTTAACAAATTACCGCTTCCTCTTATGTCACATGAGAATGATAATTTTTTTCTTTTCCCATTTCATTTCATTCATGTATACCAAATTAAGCCTAAATACTCAAAAGAGGGTCCTAGCCGTAGCCAAAAGAGTGCCTTAATGGCCAGGGATGGAGCTAGAATTTTTGTTCAGGGGGCACATTGTACACTAAATAAATATAAATTAATATTTATGGAGTATAGAAATAAGTGGATAAATATAGATAAAGATTGATATTTTTGGAATGAGGTAAATTAATAAATTACATATATAGAATATAATTAAACAATTTAAGAAAAAAAAATTTAAAGAAACATATAGAGTATATAAGGGAAGGAAAAATTTGAGGGGGGCACTTTTACATATTTTCAAAAAATATATACTTATTATAGGAAAATATATATATATAATAAGAAAGGGAAAAAATCCAAGAGGGGCACGTGCCCCCCTTGTTCCTATACTAGTTCCGTCCCTATTAATGGCTAAGGCATTATTTGTGTCAATCAAACAGTTTCTTAACATTTCTAATATCAATATTGTGGGAATTTTTTTTGAATTTGTACTCTTTTTTTTTTTTTTTTTGGGCCCAAAAAGTCATTTTTGCAGTGTTTGTGTCGTTCAACGTACCTTAACTATTCTTATTCTTAATTAGTACAGACAAAAAAACAAAAAAATAAATAATAATAAATGCAAAAAACAGTTTTTGGACCATGGTTTGGGTTAAACACGCCCTTAAGACCGTTGCCCAATTTGAATTAGAATAGTGATTTAGGACCGAATTTGACAATTACTAAATTTCATTTATGTAAAAAAAAAAAAAAAAAAAAAAAAAACGAGTCCTATTATATTACGTCATCACAATGATATCGTATAGAAGAACCCAGAGCCACACTCACATCCTTAAAATCGTTATTCTTTGAATTAAGTGGATTGATAATAAGAAAAAGTGGGGCCCGTATTGTCAAGTCCATGGTCGCTATCTGGATCATCATAATTCGCGGTCCCGCGAGTCAAAAAAATAGATAACGACGGTGATTTTATAATAACGCAAATAACCAACCTGTCAAATTCATTACAATTGAACCATATAATGATGTTATAATGACGTCAATAACCAACGGGCTCCAACGTGGCCAAATTTATTATAACCTGACCAATATATAGAAAATAAATAAATAAAAAATAAGGCAAATTGTATAAAAACTCTTTGTAC